CACAGGTTAATGCCATCACAGCTGCACACAGCTGCACTCGGCGCCCTGGCTCCGCCCTCTTTACCTTGTTGTAGATGTAACAGTTGGTGAACATGGTGTTGAAGTCCTGCATCGCCTCGCTGGCGCTCCAGTAATAATTGTTCTCCAGACGCTTCTTAATGGTTCCCATGTCCATCGGGTTCTTGATCACTTTGTGGTAATCCTGCACACACCAGCGCGGTCAGGAAAACACTCAGCTGTGTGTGTGTGTGTGTGTGTGTGTGGCGAGAGAGCAATGGTGACTCACGTGCAGACACAGCTTGATGGCGTCCACGGGCTGGTAAAAGGGCCAGGCGAACTGATGCTTCCACAGCGTCTTCACCACCACGTTCTGCATGTACTGCAGCTGGTTGGTTTTCCTGAGACACACACACAGTCAGAACATTCACCTGCCTCTAACAGCCTATCAGGAGGCTTTCTCAGTCGTGTCCTACCTGCCCGGTTTGGTGGGGTTGGTGACCTCAGGGGGGGGCGGGTTGGTGAGGGGAGGGGGGCTGGGGGGCGCAGCCTCGGGGGCGTCCGACATGGTGGACGACGGTGATGCAGCGATGCACAGTGGGACGGCAGCGTCTGACTGGAAGGTGAAAAAGGACTCCTTCTGTGGGCCGAGGCCAGGTGTGTGTGCACAGGTGTGTGTGCACAGGTGTGTGTGTGCACAGGTGTGTGTGCACAGGTGTGTGTGCACAGGTGTGTGTGTGCACAGGTGTGTGTCCGTGCGCGTGTTCAGTTCAGCCGCTTCAGCTCAAGTGTTTCCCGAAGAGACAAACTCCCATCGCACGACCTGAAAAACACAGAGAGGGGCGGTGATTAGAGGTTATTGATTCTGGGGAGGTAACGCTTTTAACCCCGCCCATCACACCAGTTTGACGTCATTAACCATTTCCTGTCCAAACAGTCCGCGATCGTTGTTTAACGTCAGCTCGCTGGTTTCCATCTAAAGCTGATGTCGCTCTAAGAACTTAATCGCACAGCGGCAACGTTTGGATGGATGTGACGCCCGGCTAGCTACGGTGCCGCGGTTATGCTAACACAAACAAACGAGCGCAGAGAAGCTGGAGGACGAGGGATGTTTGCCACCAGACGTCTGGAGGAAGACGCTGAAAACTAAAACTTCAGCTCAGGTCGGTCATTTGGTCCTGACGCTCAGCTTCACGTCCTCGCTGAGAGCGAGTCTTCTGGGCGAGGAATGAAGTGCAACAGGTTAAATGGCAGCTGGCTGCAAACACAGCAGGGAGCTTCCAGGACCAGCTCAGCTGCTACACACATCTGTACATAAAGCTTTAAAAACAGCTGCTTCAACATCTGGCAGCTAACGAGGTTACTGAGTGTCATGACTACGTGTAAAAGCCCAGAAGGCAGTGAGGGTCACTCAGAACGAATCATCATCTACGGATCAGAAAAACCTGAGCACACAGGCGTAGCTGCAGAGCTGCAGGCTGTGGGTGGAGGTTGGTGGAGGTCAGACCCTGAGACCTGACTCTGATGTCGAAATCACTGCTTGGACTGGGAAAGCTACAGACTCCTCCAACCAGGATCCACAAACACCTGCACCTCCTGTCTGAACTCATTCAAGGTACACTGAGTGGAAGCTGTGCTGCGGTTTGACCAATCAGAAGCTGAGATTCTGAGCAGAGGGAACATCCAGGTTGTTGTCATCGCTCAGGTCAGAGCAGCATCCCTGCACATGCAGAGGAGACTGTGACCTGTGATGGCAGGTTTAGGAGCAACGTGCCGTCTGGACCGCTGCCTGCTGAAACATCTGGAGCTTCATGAAGCTACAAACAGCACGGAGGAGGCCCGAAGCTCACCAAAGTTTCCAACTCCTAAAAACTGCTACTTCCTACCTGAACCCAGTTTGAGGCGCTAATAATCCAGAGCATCAGCTGATCCTTGTGCCTTGCGCTGATTAGAATCTGACTCTCAGGCCACAATCAGATTCATCAACAGCAGGAAATCAAGGCTGCAGCGACTGTTATTAACAAACTGACAGATGATCCACCCACCAACCAATAATCTGTTTAGTAATCACAGAACATCCAACGCTGAAAAATTCAGCCATTTGTTGCATCAACAGACCCAACGCCGCGTGGGCGGGTCCCAAGTCAAACTTTATTCAACTAATCCTGGCGTTACACGTCCAACCCTCTCTCACTGGAGTCCATTGATAAACGTGCAGTGACTCATCAGCTGTTGTTGACCTGCTGCAGGTCCAGGATTACTGCACGAGTTTTTCTCTCTGATCTGGACGTGTCCATGTGTTTTACTTCACACTTTTTTTATTTCCTGTTTGAGCTCCTGTCACAAGAATGTACCAAAGTTTATCTTTACGACAGCTTGATTTGTGCGGTAAGAGCGTCTGATGAAGGCCCGAGAGGCTGTTATCTGTTCTGCAGATGCAAATCAGGGCTGTCAGTATATTTAAAGATCAATTGTTGATAGGTCTATAATGCATCAACTGATAACAGTTATGTAACTGTTCTTGTTAATGTGTCGGTTTGCTTACAAACATTAGTTATTAATCTCTCATTAGCATGATTTCTTTGACCATACTGACCCTGAATTAAAGTCTACAATGATCACGGCAGAAATCTGAGGGAAACCTGTGTTTATCCAATCAGAGCAGCCGTCTGATCCCGTTCAGCTAAACATTCAAATAAATAACTGTTAATCAAAAGTCACTCAGTGTTTTCTGTGATCCATTACCTGAAGTTTTTAATTACGTCCACGTTTAAAATACTCTCACACCCACAGGTGGCACGTTACAGATTATTATTTTATGTTAATGGAAATTTCTGAGACTGTCACGAATCCAAAAGGCAATAAAGTGAAAATAAAGTATGCTGTGGACATTTTTATATTTTAATCACAACTGATGGAATTAAGACAACACATCTGTGGGTAGTCCAGCCTTCAGTCTCTGCTGATTTAAAGCATCACCACGGGTCAAAATGAGAGAAAAGGCTCTGAATGTCAAACTGATGACAATTTATTTAAAAAACAAAACAAAAACAGGATGGTATTGATGTTATGCGAACTGGTGTACCCTAGGTGGGCATGTCCTGGACACACCTGGGACTGAACAGAATGATACCCGTGCTATGATCTCCTGCACC